GACCTCCAACATGAAATTAAAAATTGTCACTTTTTTTCTTCTTCCAATTTATAAAACATTTTGTTATGAATACATCATTGTTACCTTTATGTTCCCCAACATGTGATCTCATAAGATAACAACATTAACAATATGTTGCATCCTCCTTTCAGTAAATGGACCCAATTTGAAGATGATTTTTTTAAAAAAATATCTTCCTATTGTTAGAAACAAAAACCATTCTAATTTTAATTAATATAATATCCATAACATTCAATATTTATTTTAAACATAAATATAGAATGAGTAAACAAAAATAAAAAAAAAATACTTAATTTCCTATTAAAAATTAAAAATAATATAAACAAAATAATATAAAAACCATAACTTTAAATATACTAACCTCAAAAATCACTTTAAATATATAGTTGAACTACTCATATATGAAAGAGTAAAGATGAAGAAAGAAGTGTTTCTTTTTTCTTTTCAATGTCACTCTTCTACACTTCTATAAAATATATTAGAAGTGGAATATAGCCTCAAAACAAGAATAGAGTCGTGAAAAGTTAAAAAAAAAGTTGAGAGAAAAATATATAAAATATCTAAATAGAAATTAATAACAACTTGCGATTTTCTTTTTCTTCTTGATTTACATGAAATGCATAACAACTAAGTCATTTCTACGTTTTTTTTAGACACATACATTACTATGGGCATAGCTTTTATAATATTTAAAAATATATTTTTTAAAAAAAATTCTTCTTTTGCGGAAAAATCGTTGCCAATGGCTCGCAGAAAAAATTCAAAACAATTTATTTCCTAAGTTCTATTACATAGCTCCATTTCATAGCATTTTCTTGACTCTTCCTTGACTTTGTTTTTGTGCTCCAAGTTGTTGTTGTATACTTGTTGTGATCATCAAAACTCCTTTAAGATTCAAGCTCTCCTAAGCTCAACAGTTACATCACTGGTATGCGGCATAAGCGGCACACCTGAAATAAGTCATTTCATCACATAGCTTGTTACATCACTAGTATGTGGCATAAGCGGTACACCTGGAATAAGTTATTTCATCACATAGCTTGTTACATCACTGGTATGCGGCATAAGTGGCACACCTGGAGTTATATATGTATATGATGCATGTCATACATTCACTATTTCATTGACTTAACATTTCACTTATTACTGAATTTTATTTATTACCTCATGTCATCATTTTTCATATTCTCATAGTCATAGCTTATCTCAATAGCTTATTCTCATGTCTCATGTCATTTGTTCATATTTCACATAGTCATGTCATAATTGTTCCTCATAGGGTTCATATAGGAATCCACAGAGCATTTTAGTTCATATTAAAATTTAACTATTTTCAAAATAACCACATATTCATTCATCATCTCCAATAAGGAACACAACAGAGTAATCAGAAAGTAAAACAGAACACATTCATGTTCCTAGAAAAATACATCAGGCAAGGGATTGGGGCCAATCCAACTACCCAACAATTATTCTCACATCCCCGAGCGAGGTTTCTCACTCCCCACTTACCTCGATAAGCAGGAGTTGAAACTAGAGCAGAATCTTGCTAAACTCCTCCTCTGGATTCCCCTTGGTCTTTAGAAGGTTTAGAAGAAGAAGAAGTCAGAAGTGAATAGTATGATTTGAAATCAAGCCTGAGCCTCCTATTTATAGGCATTAGGGGTGGCCAGAATGGCCCGTTCTCAAAACTAGAATGGACCGTTCTGGACCCATCTATTATATGCAAAATTTACAACTAGAACGATTTTCAAAACCAGAACGGCCTGTTCTCAAAATCAGAACGACCCGTTCTCACAATCAGAACGGCCTATTATGGGGTTGATTTTAACATACATTGACCATAATTAGAACAACCCATTTCTAACTTAAGATTTTAGGCTATTTTATTATTTTGGAATGGCCCGTTCCACTTTTTGGAACGCCTGTTCTGCTTATGGGAACGGCCCGTTCCGCTTTTTGGAACGGCCCATTCTAGGCCTAAAAAAAATATAATTTCATATAAAAATTAATTTTTTTTATAAATATTTAAATTTTAAAAAAAACCTCTAAAATGTTCTATAAAATCCCCTTAATAAAATAAGCTCCATAAAATAATAAATATTAACTATGTAGAAAATTCGGGATGTTACAAATATTAAGTTGTGTATTTAATTTTTTAAAATTATTATGACATTAAAATTATGTTTAGTTGGTATGTATTTGCCATTTAAATTATTTTTATGACATTTTGATACTTTTATTATTGAAAGTTTGATACTATCATTTAAGTATTTGTAACTATTTTTATTTTAATATTTTAATATTTATTTTATTTTTTCATCTAATTTTATGTATTTTTTATTTTTTAAAAATTTATTTTTTTGAACCATTATTTAGGCTCGCAGACCGGTCCGTTAACCGCAGATTTTGGCGAGCCAGATACAGACTTAAAAAATAAGTATATTTATTTTACGTACCGGACTTATTCGGCCCATATAAAATGCGGGTCTTACGGACCGGACCTTAAACGGGCCGGACCGGTCCGTATACCCACCCTTTTATACTAACACGGGTGTAACTTTTACTAAGTATTATACACCGCTCAATAACTTTATATTAAATGTGAATTTTGTAAATCCAACCGTTAGATTACTATAAAAATATAACAATATATAATAATTGTATTACGAATAATAATAATAATATATTTAATTAATCTTTATTTATATATACTTACTTTTATAATTAGCAATCTACTTATTTCTATTTAAAATTATAATTTAAATTATTTATTTTTATAATTTATAATGATAATATAATTTATAAAATTATAAATATTTATTTATTACATACTTATAAATT